TGTATGTCGGTATCTTTCTCCAAACTTTCGCGTTTGGTTTTCTCCATACTTTCGCTTTTGGTTTTCTTCAAACTTTCGCGAATCAAATTCTCCGAACTTTCGAGAGGCAAATTCTCCATAGTTTCATTTTCGACCGTCATTTTGGGCCGATTTTGTTGAGAATTTGGATTTGATTTCGGCAATTCTACGGTGTCTTAACTTTCCGTTGTCGGCCGTTTTGAGTTGGTGTCTTCCACCAAACTTTTTTTAGAGGGTCCCTTTTGAAGGTAGTATATGACCCCGGGTTAGGAGAGTTAGTGGAAATTCTGGAGGTACTCACAGTTTTGTAGGGATGAGTGTGCTTAGCTTTGCAGAGTTTCGGGCTGTAGATTGCTGCGTGCTTTTTCGAAACATTCACGTTTACTGATGGCGGTTTTGAGGTGGCGACGATACGTTCACGGACCCGTCTCGAGTACAGGGTCTAATACCCGGTTTTGGCTGGCCCAGAGGGCTCCTCCATACGCAGGGTTACAAACCGAGATTGTTTTACACTTTACCTGAGATTTTGTTCGGACAATTAATATAACGAGAAAATATAGTTTATGTCTGTAAAAGTTCAAAGAGTAAGGGTGTGTTACCACGATAGAAACGATAGACAGAGCAACTTCTTAAAAATTCCATTTAGCAAAAGCATATTCAATTTGTAACTAGTGGTATATTCGCGAATATAAAAAATATGGGTCCAATTTTGAACCATCAAAAGACTATTTCTTAAATCACGAAGAACGAAGAAGCTAATACTCGTATCTAATTGCACATATTATCAGCCAAACATTAGGGGCATTCACGCTGCATTATTGATTGCAAAGATACAGATGTTCTAGTCTTATCAATTTATTTTAAGAAGTTTTTGACAAAAAAATGTATATTTCAGAAGAGGGCGAGGAGACTCTTGAAGTTTCATAACAGTACATGATTTAAATTTGGATGAGAATTTTTTAAAAAATTTGCCTGATTTTCATTCTGTGACCGGTTTTGATACAACCAACCAATTGTCTGTCATTAGGAAAATAACTTATTGGAAAACCTACCTTGAACACCATCACCTTTTAAAAGGATTTAGCACTGATCAGTAGGTACTCTGAAAACAAATTCTCTAATCTTGAAAAAATGTACATAAAACTTTATTCAAAAACTGCCAATGTTACTTCCATTAACATTTTGAGGGGATTAATGACCTCTTTAAAATCATCGCTAAATTATCATAGACTCCCTAAGATTACATTGTTTAAGATGTTTTTACCAAAATTATTGTATATCAAGCTTAAAGTTATAAGTTTCTTTAAATCTGTAAAGTTACCAAGATTTTCGGAGCAATTATTACATAAAATATTTAGACCTCGAATTTTCTGTTACACGGTCGGTCGAGGATAGATCAGTGCATTTGATATGAATCAAATGTTTGCAGCCGTCACACTGAAGAGCTGAAGCGCGATCGGCCACTGCTTTCGTACAATTCGCACAACTGGGCATGGTGATAGTCAGATAATAACAAGTTTTTGTTGTATTTACAAGAGTTCACAGAAAATACATTATTTACAGTTACTTTAAACTTTTTGTTTTGTTACTCAGTCGCCATATAGGCACTAGATTTGTTTATAAAGAAAACAGTTTTGATAACTTATAAATATACAAAATGTAGAAAGAAATATGACAATACCGAACTTGTGTCATTTTGGTTAATTTCTTTTATCCTTAAATGTGCTATTGAACTTTTCCAACGTCCTCGACTAAAAAATAACATTATAAGCGATTTACTAATTTGTATAATGTGTTTGTATTATCTCTACAGAAAATAACAAGGTATTTTTGATATATTAAAATGTAATGTAAATGATACGAGTTGTTTTTTAAAGTTCATAATATAATTTCATAAATTAGTTTTTAATTTGAAGACAATAATAATTAGTTAGCTTCAGTTCATAATCGGTGTGTAGTGTGCAGTCCTTCTCACTTATATGTCTAAATTTGATGGGTAAATTGAGGCGTTGAAAACCAGAGTGGTCTAAGTCAGAAATTCTCATTTTTGAGATAATAACTCTATGTCATTCTTCATTCAGTCAAAAATTCAAAAAGGCTGCTTTAGAAATTTGCCTATAGACGTAGTTAGTTTATTGTATGAGTGGCAGAATCGTGATAATGTTGAAAGTCAGAGTGGTACAAGAAGTCTAACTTAGACAAATATGGCTTTAAATCTTATTACGAGTTAAAAGTTATAGTATTTTTGTGTTAGTAAATATTATTTCTTGTAATAAATATGAGTTCTAATGAATCAGAGGAAGAGCCCTTTAGTGAAAGTGAAAGTGAATTTGAGTCGGATGAGCGTATTGAATTGGAATCCTCGTTTTCAAGTGGTAATGTATTATTAATACATTAAAATTTTCAAAAAAGAATTCAAACAGTATTTATTCTGGCTTAAGCTCCTAGCAGATACAGATATCCAAATAGTAGATCAAAAATTTATGGTATCTGGTCATTCTTTTCTGCCAAACGATAGAGATTTTTGCCAGATATAGCGATATGCGAAAAGCAGGATTGAGATACACAATAATACAAAAGTGAAAAACAAACAATCCATTCAAAGTATATAAAATAGATAAAAACGGTTTGGTTTGGTTTGGTTACAGATTCAGTGCTTACATTCCGAAAAAATGAATCATTTTAAATTTACTGTATAGAAACTCTTAATGAAGAATTTCCTTAAGAGGTTATAAACTTGCTAGAAAAGGCCAAAATTTCGGTATTTTTTTGACTAAGACGTATCGGAATGCGGTTTTTTGCATTCGCTTCCAAAAATTTTTTTGGAAAAAATGTTCCTACTTTTTATCTTAATCAAACCGAAAATTGCATTGTTGCAGCTAAAAATGCATTAAAAAAATGCATTTTTTGAGACGGATTTGGAAGATTAGAGAACTTTGGAAATAAGAGTCAGAACTGTCCCAAATCGGGTTCCCGGAAATTTTGGAGGTCGCTGATCACGATTATGATGTTCAAATTGACCCACAGCCGACCTGGAGCTCAAGAATGCCGATGAACGTCATCTCCGTGGGACTCTCCCGAAATTCATGCGGGGAAGGAGAGAAACTCAGTTCCGGAGGTTTTTTTGGTCGCTGAATTCAAATATGGCATCGACGAACACCCCCCGGATACCTGGTGTGCCCGAACCTGGACGTGGACGTCATCCATGAGAATTTTCCTGACAATATCACCAAAAACAACCCGAAAATCATTGTGGGGGCGTTTTTTGGGGCGCTGAATCCAAATTTTACGTCGACAACGACCCCATAAACACCTAGTCTGTGTATCTATGAGTGATCGATTCAAACTAGTTTGTTATCAGCAGGGAGTACCGATTTTTATTTGTTTCTCTATGATTGTAAAGGAATTTTACACATTAAAAATGCCAAATAATTCTGAACCTTTAACAATGAAATTATTAAACAACAAAATTGATAATATTTCTTGAACAATCCTTTCAGCTTCCTCTCTCTTGGCCTTTGGTAACCTTCGAGCTGATTGACGAATCGGCCTGGCGCCACCAGTCTCAATTTTGTGTTTTACAACAGAAGTTCTTCCTGTTTTTCCTCCTTTTAGTACAAAAATGTCACGATATCGTCGAAGTATTTATTTCTTTTTATCATTCTATATCGTATTTTACCTACTTAGGGGGCGTCCATTAATTACGTGAGGTATTTTTGAGGATTTTTTGACTCCCCCTCCCCCCTGGCGAGATTTGGTAAGATTTTCCTTAAAATAAATTAGCTTGCACACAGGCATATATAGCCTCAGTGAATTATCAATGTATAATTTATTTTGTATTTGTAGTATTTCATTTGAATTGTAATTTAACTTAGTATTTATACTTGCAATTATTCCTATTTATATATAGTTTTCTTTAATAAACATTATTATATATTTCTGCATTTTTACATAACCTATTTTCAACTAGTACGACAATATTAAGAAATATGACAATGATCACTTTCCTATAAAATCAAAAATAGGTACGCGCAAACGCAGCAATTGAGGACTCCGTAAGTGGTAGGATGGTTAAGAAAAAAATATCTGCATCGGGGGGTGTTCGCCGATGCCATATTTGATTTCAGGGACCCAAAAAACCCCCGTGCGCCGAGTATCTCTCCTTCCCCGCGTTTTTTTCGGAAGAGTGCCACGAATATGACGTTCATCAGCGTTCCCGAGCTCCAGGTCAGCTGTGCGTCAATTTGAACATCATAATCGTGATCAGCGATCGCGAAAACTTCCTGGAACCTGATTCTGACTCTTATTTAGTCTTCTAAAAGCCGTCTCAAAAAACGTATTTTTTAATGCATTTTTGGCTACAGCAATGCAATTTTCGGGTTGTATAAGATATAAAGTAGGGGCAATCCAAACCGTCTTAATCTAAAAAATTCCGAACTCTTTTTGCTTCATTTCCTCGACTATTTCAGCAATGTTAATTTACCATTACTGTATGATTCTTCGTTGCCCATCAATGACAAAAAGAAAAATAATATGGAAGAGCTACTCCAATTCATTCCTCCCATCCACCAACAGTACTTTGAAAAAATCGTTTGGGATGGTAGTATTTAAGACATAGGTCCAATTAAAGATAGTGAACAAGAAGACTAGATTTTCAATAAATGTTTTTAGTGAATTTAAGTGTGTTCAAATCCTAATACATACATCTTATTTTGTATTATCATTATTATATTTATTTGTAAAAAAACTTAATAAAATGGATAATAGTAAAAAATGGGTATTTTGTGTACTGGTATTGTTTAAGGACGAAATTGACAGATTTTTCAATAATATTTCAACTTATAATATGTGCAATGTATTGATTTATGACTTAGACCACTCTGGTTTTCAATGGCTCAATTGTAGCAAGATTATTATTATTATTATTATTATTATTTCTATCAGAAAATGTTAACCAAAAAATTATACCATAATCGCCTTTTCAGAGTAACTACTTAAAACATGTCTACAATCAGTTTGAACAACTCATGTAATGAAAACCTTCAAGGAACGTCCGCAGAACTCTTTCTGACGCTACTAAATACTTTGATGGCTGCCAGGTGCTCGTTGGGAAACCCCAAAAATTACCCTGAAGATTTCGGACCAGATATAAGAGACGGAGATGAATTTGATTTTATCGTAATCGGTGGAGGTTCTGCAGGATCCGTGGTGGCCAACAAATTGAGCGAAAATCGGAATTGGAAAGTTTTGGTACTAGAAGCTGGTGGACTGCCATCTGCTACTAGTGATGTAAGTTTACTGAATTAGATTTTGGAGTATTAACTTCTGGAACATATTTTTTAGATACCAGCGCTGCTTTTCCACCTTCAAGGAACACAAGAAGATTGGGCTTACAAAACAGAACCACAAAAAAGCAGCTGTTTGTCAATGAAAAACAAACAATGCAAGTGGCCGCGAGGTAAGGCACTTGGAGGAAGTAGCGTTTTAAATGCCATGTTGTACGTCAAAGGAAATAAAGGAGACTACGACCACTGGGCAGAACTCGGCAACACTGGGTGGGACTGGGACAACATTAAGAAATATTTTACGGAACTGGAGAAAGTGCTACCGCCAGAATCTGAAAACACGCTGTTGGGAACTAAGGGACTGTTGACTTTGACTAAAAAATCTTCAAGTAAGCATAATTTTTTACTGTCAAAGCTATTCTTCATGGGCGCCAATAAACTGGTATATTCTGTAACAAGGTTGGAATAAAAATTCGGTAATAGCAAATAACCACATGTATCGAATTTTCATTCCACCAGAGTAATAGACTGTACTTTCTCCACGGCCAAGACCCAGTAGTAGTAAAATGAAATTTTGTACAAAATTAAATATTTAATATAACTTATTTTATTCAAGTTTTTATTTAAATTATTTGCATAATTTGTCAGTTCAGGAGGAATATTATCAAATTCCATATAAGAATCATTATTTTAACCAATTTTTGAATTTAAATCGACTTTCATCTTTATCCAGGCAAATTCAAACTAAATACTAATATGTCGAATAGAACTGTCAGTCATAAAATTCATGACTATCTACAATGCGGTCGTGGTATTCACAGCCAAGAGGCAAGTGTTTCAGAATTTTCCTTTAATCTTAAAAGTAAGAATATTTTTTTTTGTCATTATAAATATATTCTATTATTTTATTGAAATGCAATAATATAACATGTATAAATACACTTATACAAGGAGTAATAAAAAAGTAGGTCGGTTAGATCTAACTTACCTGTATATAAAAGCTTACAAAAAAGTTATAGCCTTTTGAATTTAGAAAACGAAAATCACCTTTTTCAATAACTTGAAAACTGTTCAAAATTGTATCATAAAAATAGACATGTGGCTTTCTTAAAGTAGTACGAAATGATCGAAACAATGCACTCCATAAAATTTTTATGGGGGCTTGTAACGGTTTTAATCGAGCATTAAGACTCTAGTATAGGTTTTGTTCGTCCATAAAGTATTTCTTTTTCTATATTTGCTTAAAATAAAACTTATTAGACTAGTCAAAAGTTGCCACACAACAAACATTTATATTATCCAGTTCTCAGCAGTTTGAAATATAGGAATTTTATACTTAATATAATATTTTTACAAGATTTAAAATATGTTCAACACAAATAGGCATTAGGTAGACTCGTTTTATGATACCTTCCTTGTGCAAATTGTAATGTTTATGCTAAAATTTACCTTTAATATCCATTCTTGATGTGGTAAATGTTCACAATCATCTTCACACTAGACAACAATCCTTGTGGCAAATGTTCACAATTATCTTTACACTAGACAACAATTTTTGTAATAACCATGAACTTTACAAAACAACACATTTCGTTAGCTGGGACATAATGTAATTGTCGTGGATATTCTTAACAATTTTCATAGTATTAAACAACAATTTATACTCGTTGAATCAGTTTCAGATTATATTCGTTGGATACCGAATGTCAAATAAGTGGGGTTATATTTATAGTTATGAGTGACTGCTAGACAGCTGTCATATCATAGATAAGTACTACAGAGAGTGGTAAGGCCGATCGTAGTTCTTTGGGTATATTTTGACGTTTCGTTTGTTCAGGATTTCTATTGGGATACCAGCATGCTACAGTTAGTTTTATATTCGCAATCGTGAAAGCTTATTGGTGGCGCAGGGGTGCCATTCGTGAATCGTACTTGTCCGAGAGTGATAATTGGCTGAAAGGGGTTTTATTCACGGCGATTCTGCGCCATCGAAGTTTCGTCTTGGTGTTGGTGAAAAACGAAGCTTTCTGAGAAAAAGCCATAATGGTGGTTTGAACTGAAAATTCGTCAAGAGATGCTTTTCTAGTTTTTGTGTTTTTATAGAATCATCCCATATTGGGGAGTGTTAGAAAAGTAGCTCAATATTTTAAGAAGCACTAATGGTAAAATTAAATCTGGTTAACGTGGATTTAAGCCCGTTATTTTGGAGGAGAATTGGATTTGAAGTTCAGCCCATTGGTAGATGTATTAGCAGTCTCATATTGAAGGCCGATCGTAGTTCAGATCGTATACACTGGTTTTAAAACGGATTTAGCAGATTTCTCTGTTTTTGATTGAAGTTACACCCTCTGGGATAAGAAGTAGATTTTATTCTTTTTTATATAGTGCAATTTATCCTGTAAATATTGCTAGTCATTCATTGTTAATAATAGACATTCTTTCAATTAGTAAATTAGGAGGTTGTATGTGGGGTACAGTTATTGCTGTATTGAATTTTCCTAATTGGGTACTTTTGATGTATTGCATGAATAGTCCTTGCCCTGAAAGGCACTAACTTCAACCCTCTGGGTGGCTCAGGATTTCACTTTTACTTTTTATTGTCTTGAAGTAAGAAATAACTGGATGGAATCAAATTAAGTTACACCATTCTGAATAGGGATTGTATATTTTAGGGTTTTTGGGTTCAGTGCTTAGACCCAGTATTTGTATCCGGTGTTTGGAACCAACGTTTTGGTGTGATGTTGAAGTATTGAAGATACTGTTAGGTACCAGTGTTTCGACTGGGAATTGCTGTTACTACAGATATTTTGCATCGTACGACTACAGTGCCACAGGCAGCACCTTTTGCCTGTCGTTGTCACGGACTAGGAGATAAGTGAAACGAGATTTTATTTGTATTACTTTGATGTATGTTTTTGGGGTAACATTTAGCCCAAGACTGATACGTAGATGTATATGTATATTTTATTATTTTATAAAACGTTAAATTGAAATTAATATGCTAGCTCATGTGCTATTAAGGGTCCATAACTTTTATTAAATTTAAGTATAGTTCATATAATACAACATTAAGGGAATTGGGTATTTTACCTTGAGATGATGTTTATTAAAATTGATGTTTATTATTAGTAATATTTTAGATTAAAAGGGTATTAAAATCTGTTTATACAGAAACTAAAGGATTTTTAAGACTAGATATGGTTAACTTTTCTTTTGATTGCGCCTGACACGTCTTTCGCCTTGGATCCAACGCTAATGACCGTGAGGTATTAACTGGTAATTTTACTGGGGTTCATTGAACCAACCCTGTTTAGTTTCTGTAACTGTTAAGGCATTACATATATTGTTTAAAAATTTTGGGGTTATTACATGCCTATACATAAAATGTAAGTAGGACAGTGTATTCATTTTTGATACGAATTACATTATTAATATAGGGATTGTGAGAGCCATTAACTTGGGGTAAGGGGAAGGGCGAAGTGTTTTTCAATTTGTAAATAAACAAGATCCAAGTTAAGGTTGTCTTTTTATTTCCTCTTTATTTGGTAGATTTAAAGGTAGGACTTTTCTGGATTTAAAAAGGCTCAGATATATACAAAGTAATCACCTACTCCCATCTCCACTAGAGTGAACTGAAGCCACAAGGTTGACATTTGGGACAATCGAATTTTTGTGTCACGTTAATCTGACGTTACATTTTGGCGCCCAACGTGTGCGTTTAAGACATCCTAAACTATTGTATACATCAGCAGACATATGTTATTCCTTTACAATCATTGGTGTAACACATTCATTTTGGGTCCTAGTACTTTATCAAAATGTTCTTTTATTTTTTTAATTTCGACAACTTTTTCAATATGTAGTCAAAAACAAATTGATGCCTCAATAAGTTAACACATGCTACTCTTAGATACTAGATTTCTAAAGCGTTGAATTTAATTTTTACTTCATTGATCAGTCACCAGATTTTACTTTCAAAATCTTCAAACTGGTTTAAATATTTCATTATTTTCTTATACAGGGTGCTTCGGTCCTTTCCGAGTTATATAGTGACACAAACATTATATTTTTTTTATAAATGATTTAGGATAGCAGTTTTGATAACACCAAAGCGCACTATATTAGCCTAAATCATTTTTAAAAAAATTAATGAAAACGTATTTTTTATAATTTCATTGACGTAACTCGGAAAGGACGTATTTCCGGACACATATTTACATAAGACTTTTTTGCTAATCTCCACTTCCTAAACATGTCGTATATATTATAGTAGTCTCCAAAAAAATGTTTACTATTGCAGATGAACCAATCAAAATTTCACTACAAGAAGCCTATGAACAAATGAGAATAAAATATTTAAAAGAGCAGAATCCCGAAAAACCAATCGGCACCGTAGATGTGCCCATGTGCATCGAAAAAGGACAAAGAGCTAACACAGGAAAAAAGATATTGGGCAACTATCAAAACAGACATAACCTCTTAATCTCGTTGCGTTCCTTCGTCCAAAAAATAACAATCAAAGAAAAAGTAGCAAGAGGCGTAGAAGTGGAGATAGGAGGCAAATTAATAAAATTGAAAGCTAAAAAGGAGGTGATCGTATCTGGAGGTGCCATTAATTCACCGCAATTATTGATGTTATCCGGAATTGGACCTAAAGAGCATTTGCAAAGCCTTGGAATAGACGTGGTGGAAGATTTGCCAGTCGGACGGTTTATGCAGGACCATTTGGTATCTTTTCAAGAAATAAAATTGTCTTTGGACGCTATTCAGTATCCGAAAGGACCTGCTGATCCTCTGTATGAATATTTTATGCGTCAAGAAGGCCCCCTTGGTAGGTAATTGTTTTTTTGTAATTTTAGTGTAGCTTACTTATTATTTTAATTCAACTAGAATGTTTAGTAACTCAATAGGTTTATGTTGTGGCATAGTGGATTTTTTTTTTAAATTAGAAAGATTCTCGGTTTTATTAGAAAAGGACCTCATGTTAACACTCCAATAAGTTAGTTGAAAAAAAAAAGTAATTGAATAGAAACTATTAAGAGTGGTATTTAACAATATTACGATCTGATCAATACTTAGGTCAACGAGCAATTTTTTAAACCTAATTGACATACGATTAATGTCAACATTATAATCACTATATAGTCTGCCTTAGGATCTGATAATATATAGCTATAAAATAAATAACAAGTGGCACTTAAACCGAGCTACATCCTGCTGTAAACTGTTCCAATCATCTAACCAACTCAAATGGTTTCATAGCGTTGAGTCTTTCTAGAGATGTGTATTATCAAGAAGTTGGATAGCCTCAACGTTCAATTGATGAAGCAATCTTTGTTCGTGGTTAATGACAGATTTGGCATTGGTCTAGTCAACGGTATCCATTTGCAGGTCCCGTTGGATGTCGCTGATTTTGCGGTAACAGGGTGCATTATTGATGCTCCTTACTGGTTTGTTCTGGAATCGTTGAATAACTTGCTCCACAACTAAATATCTTATAATGTTCATATCAGTTTTAATTTCTACTCATATAAGGTGACCATTTAAAACTTACAATCGCTATATCTTATGAACTAAAGATTATTACCCAAAGTAACATGTTAACTTGCATTTTACCATTTACCATTTTAAGAAGGATGTTCCACAGAATTAGTTTTTATATTTTAAAAATAAAGTGGCATTCTAAAAGCATTATAATCTCATAGGCAATGTACCTTTTCGGGTGACAATAATTACAAAAATTACAATGGCTTCAATGACTAAAGATGATGTCTAAAAAGAAAAACCTGATAAAAACAATTTACTCTATGTTCCTGGTCAAGAAATATTTAAAATATTTTAATAAACATACCATCTTCTTTTTAAACATTGTTATGGTTTTGTTCGTGTTGAAATAGATGGCTCATATTGGGTTAATGGGGTGAATTCTGTAGTCTATCATTTAAGTTCCGCCTTCGCATCCCAGAAGCACCTCCTTTAAAACAATGGCAGATGCCGCTTGAAAACGAGGAATAGAAGACATCTGCTGGTAAATAGAAGACATGTTACGCGGACGGCAAGTAAAGGCACAAATGTTCAGTGAAACCTGCAGGTAAATATCCACAGGAAAAGCCCATAAAGTTCTTTTTCCTCTACTGTGGAATCTAATGGCTGGTGAACATCTGAGAACACTAAATAATCAAAGGTTATACGCTCAAGGATACGCGGATGACACAGTCATCATTATTCGAGGGAAACACCAAATCACAGTCTTGAAACTCAAGCAAAAACTTTAAAGTTGACAGAAATGTGGTGCATTAGAGCAAACCCCTTGGTAAACCCTGACTAAGTACACCTCATAACCTTTACTCGGACAACAAGATTGGAGGTCTTGGAAATTTCGACCCTACTCGAAGGAAAGTAAAAACAAACGAACCAAGTAAAATATCTGTGTCTAATCCTAGATAGAAAACTTACTTGGAACCAACACTTACAAAATGTGACCAAATAAAATGTCTCTTATTCTAGAAAGACGGGCAATTGGGAAAACATGGGAATTAAAACTGAAAATGATCCCACTGACTATATTCGGCAATAACAGAACCCATGATAATTTATGTAGCGGTTGTTTAGTAGCCAAAAGTAAACCAGAAAACAGCCTTCAATACTTTCTCAGGAGTATAGTCTTTGTATTACAAGATAACTTAGAAGTACACCGACAACCTCTATGGAAATAAATCTAAACCTCCCGCCCCTTGACCTAGTCATAAAAGAGGAGGCCAGAATGACTGCATATAGACTGGATATCTGTAATAACTAGAACCCACTGGAAAATATTAAACATAGCAGAATAACACATGAGGTAAATGATCCTATATTAAATATGGGATCAGACCACAGACTCTTCCAGGTCAACTGCAACTGGCACAAGGTAAATAAGGAGGTACAGAAATGCTTGCCTCGAGCGGTCTCGTATGGTATACGAATGGATCTAAAACCAACAAGAGAACAGGCTCTGGCTTACACGAAGTAAAACCCAACATCACTGTCTCACTGGGAAAACGTTCCACTGGCTGAAATACAAGTAAATACATGTAATCGAATCGTGATACAAGAGAATATAAGGAAGTACAAAAAACAAACCATCTTAATTCCCTCAGACAGCCAAACAACCTTAAAGGCCCTTGATTCAAACAGTTTCAAGTCAAAACTGGTCTGGAACTGCCTTGTAATACTAAATAATCTGGCAGCCCACAATAAGGTAAAACTAGTGTGGTTACCAGGACATAAAGGTACCCAAAGAAATAAAAAGACTGATAAAGCCAAAGAGGGATCAGAGCTACCATTCCCTGGATCCAAACCTGTATTTGAAATAATTTTTTTTTTTTTTTTTTATAATTTATTGGCCTTAATTTTAGACATTTGTATAACAAAACGTCTGCTCGACAGGCAGTGAACAGGCGGATAACCACAAAATACTAAATTCACTGTCAACAGATAAGAGGATATACAGGGTGAGTCATGAGGAACCTTACAGACTTCTACCATATGTAGAGTCCCTTAAGGGGTATATCATATGAGCATTAAAAAGTGGCAACTCCCCTTCGTTATGTGAATTTTGACAAAACTTTATATGGCCGTAAAACCTACAAGGATTACTAGATTTCTTTAATTTTTTGGTGGAGCATTACACTGGTGTCTAGCATTTAATTCATATCATCAAAAGTTAAAAATTCCAGGATTGGCTTAGGAAAAATTAATCTCGACGATTCATATCAAAAAGTTCGCCCTGTGTAAGATTTTTTTAAATTATAATAAGATATTTTTAAAGTACATAGATAGACAATCAAAACTGTGTATGTGACATTTTTGTCACCTTTTTTTTATTAAGGTTCGATTTTGGGTAAAACTGAAAAATCACCTTAAGTGTTATGTTATAACATAAAGAAAACATTGTTAATTGTATGCATTTGAACTAAACGAGCCAAACATAAGCCTTTAGTGAGCTTACTAGATCGTTAAATTTATTTTCGACAATTTCCAGATCCGGATTAGTTCATTTTTAAATTTTAAATAGAAATGGCCTATTTTTGTAGACTATAGAAACTACTCAACTAAATTAAACATGTCAATATTCAATAAATAAATTGTAGCGAATAACAATAACGAACAATAAATTCACACTTATTAATTAATAATTATAAATGCTATTTATTAACCTCTAATAAAAACTGCACATTTTATTCTTGCAACTAAGATATTATGTGGTTTTATTTTTATTATAAATACATAGTAGGTACCTATGTATCAAGGTAGGTTGTGATAGTTTGACGTTTGTTTGTTCTTATTTATTTGTCATTTGCAACCATTATTTATACGTGTAAAATAATATTTCGCTTTGTTTTATCTATTTTATAATAGTGTTAGAATTTTTGTTGTTGGTGTTGTTATTCAAAATGCCCCATAAGTTTTCAAATGCAGAATATGCAGATATCATTTTTATGTACGGATTCTGTAATGGGAATGGCAGAGCTGTAGCAAGAGAATATCATAGAAGATTTCCTGGTCATCGAGTTCCCTGTCATTCAACATTTGCATCAGTTTTTAATTATTTGCGAGAACATGGCACATTCCCTAAAGCAAATGCAGAACGAAATGTAGATCATGAGCAGGAAGATAATATTCTTAATGTTGTTATTGCGAACCCCACAATAAGCACCAGGAAAGTAAGTCGACAACTTTATGTTACCCAATCAAAAGTGACTAGAGTCTTACGAAAAAATAATTTACACCCATAGCATATTCAATTAGTTCAGCGGCTACACCCTGGAGATGAAATCCATAGGTTGGAATTTTGTAGGTAGATTGCAAATCATAGACCAGTACTGTATAGAACATTGTTTACAGATGAAGCACAGTTTACAAGGGATGGGATAAATAATTCCCGTAATTTACATGTGTGGGCAGTAGACAATCCCCATGCTGTTCGAGAGTTTCGGTCTCAGTTAAGGTTTTCCGTGAACGTGTGGGTTGGTGTGATAAATAACCAATTTATAGGACCTCACTTTTTTGATGGTCCTTTAAGAGTACAAGTTTACTTAGACTTTTTGCAAAATACGTTGCCTAATTTACTTGCCAACGTAGGTATCCGAGGGATGTATTTCCAACATGATGGAGCATCGCCTCATTTTTTAGTTGCGGTAAGAAACCATCTAAATAATGTTTTTGGCAACAGATGGATAGGACGTGCAGGTCCTATTTCATGGCCTCCAAGATCCCCAGATTTTAACCCCGTATATTACTATATTTGGGGACGATTGAAAGAATTAGTTTATTCACAAAATATTAATGACCGACAACAATTAATTGATAGAATTATCCTTTGCTCTAATGTTATTAGAAACGATCCCTTGACTATCCGTAAATCAATAAGGCACTTAACGATTCGGCAACAAAAATGCGTAGAAGCTGGAGGGTTTCATTTCGAACAACTACTATAATTGTTAATTTATTACCATGATTTTATTTTCTAGTATACATGTTATCATTATTCTATGTATGTAGTATTAGTTTTTTTTTTAATTTCTTAGTTGTTCGTTATTCTAATTCGTTAAAATTTATTTATTGTTTGTTGATGAAATTTAAACGAAATAAAATATTTCTAATAAATACATATGAACTTATGTTTAATTTATTTGAGTCTCCAAAAATGTACAGGGCGATTTTTGTTTAAAAATTAATTAAAAATTTATAACTAGGCCTGTAAATTGAATAAAATGATATTAACGGTGTAGGCACTAAAGGCTTATGTTAGACTCGTTTTAGTTCAAATGTATACCATTAACAATTTTTTCTTTAAGTAATAACATTATAATGTGACCCCTTAAGTTGATTTTTCAGTTTTGCTCAAAATCAAAACTTAATAAAAAAATTAAAGAAAATGTGACAAAAATGTCACATACACAGTTTTGATTGTCTATCTATGTACTTTAAAAATATCTTATTATAATTTAAAAAAATCTTATACAGGGCGAACTTTTTGATATGAATCGTCGAGATTAATTTTTCCTAAGCCAATCCTGGAATTTTTAAATTTTGAGGATATGAATTAAATGCTAGACACCAGTGAAAAGATCCACCAAAAAATTAGAGAAATCTCTTTAAGTTATAACATTATAATGTGACCCCTTAAGGTGATTTTTCAGTTTTGCCCAAAATCAAAACTTAATAAAAAAATTAAAGAAAATGTGACAAAAATGTCACATACACAGTTTTGATTGACTATCTATGTACTTTAAAAATATCTTATTATAATTTAAAAAAATCTTATACAGGGCGAACTTTTTGATATGAATCGTCGAGATTAATTTTTCCTAAGCCAATCCTGGAATTTTTAACTTTTGAGGATATGAATTAAATGATAGACACCCAGTGTAAAGCTCCACCAAAAAATTAAAGAAATCTAGTAATCCTTGTAGATTTTACAGCCTTATAAAGTTTGGTCAAAATTTACAAAACACCCCGTATATTAATAACGAAGGGGAGTTGCCACTTTTTAATGCTCATATGATATACCCCTTAAGGGACTCTACATATGGTAAGGGGACCAAACCCCGACATTGTTGCTAAGGTACTACAGCTCGCAAGGCTTCAGATATCCACATTTGTGGGATTACTAACGGGATACTCCTTCATGTGACATGATCCCACCACGAGTAGACTCTGTATGATAGAGGAAGAAACCTCATACCATATTATCTTCGAGTTCGAAGTTCTTGTTAGACGGCGTGGCGACTTGTCCTTTTAGGCCCAAAATCGAAAAGAACTTCCTAGGAATACTTGGTAGGTAACTTAGTAAAACGAACCAAAGGGACAGGACTATTCCAGAGATAGTACCTGAATACGGGGAAAGTAAGGAAAACCAATAGACTCAAGAGGCTACAGTGTTCTCGGCCAAATCTAACCATACCTGCTAATAACCGATAAAGATAAAAAAGCATTTCTGATATCAACTGTTTTTAAATGTACACCTCCGGAAAAAATAAGTTGCTTGTATGTAGACAACTTGGAAAACCGTCGTAGCAGCCAATACTTTTTTAAATTCACTTGTTTTGACATGAACTCTCCAGATATTTTTCTGAGCTATCATAGGAAATCTAATGAACTTTTGCTCTTACTGCTAAATGTTTTTGTTGTTAACACGATCTGATTTGGCTTCATTCAACCTGATGCGCCATGTTTTGGTCCAATTAGTAACTCAGTTAATCGAAGTTTGGAGGTTTACAGTAGCTCATTCATGGTTTATTCCGACAGGCATAATTGCCGTTGTCAAGCTCGAAAATGTCACTTGTATATATTAGATAGTATTGGATCTAGTATACTACCTTGTGTCACAACTGCTCTAATTTCAGAATAAGCATCTTCTTTTTCAATGATGTCTGCGATCCTGTGGACTTGATAAATATTTTTTTCTGAAGTCACAACGCTGGTCAGGAATCAAGCTAATTTCTTCTATTATATGTTTTAAGCTTTATTTTTTTATTAAAAAAAAAAAATGAAATAACTGGTAACATATGGGTCTGTACTCTGTAAGATAAACCTTCGTGTGATGAAATTTCGCTTGAGACATGTAAACGAATAATTTAAAAGCATAATAAATGATAATTGAAATGGATTAAGTAACGAACTAGGTTACTATATTTAAAAGAACATTTACTGACAAACACATAATATAATGATTACCATTTCTAGTAATTCATTTTTTCTTCTACCATTATTTTTGGCAGCTTCTATCTCCCTTACGAACTTCTTGAGCTTCTTTAACACCAAAAACGATTCGATGTGGCCCAACTGTGGTTTCCACTATCTTTTATTCCCTCCAAACGACCAGCTACTTAGCACTGCCGTTAGCCGGGGTGTAGGATTTATTGACAGTATAGCGGCCACCAGAAGCAATGAATGCAAATTGAATCCTTGTCTATTGACGATTCCTACCCTGCTCACTCCTAAATCCATGGGACGGATTATGTTGAAGAGCAAAAACCCTCGAGATTATCCACTGATTTATTCGGGATATTTGACCGACGAAGCTGATGAGGATATGGCAGTTATGATAGAAGCAATTAGGTATGTTATAGATACATTGTCATGATCTTTTAAAACATTTTGTGTTACAGATTCAACGAAAGGTTAATCCAAACTCCGGCTTTCCAAAAACACAACCCCGAAGTCATCAGATACCCAATACCAGAGTGTGACAAGTTGAAATACGGAAGTGACGCATATTGGGAATGCTTTATGAGGAACGTGGCTACCACTTTGTATCATCCAACTAGTACTTGCAGGATGGGTGTCAGAAAAAATAATTCCGTAGTGGATCCGAGATTACGGGTTCATGGTGTTAAGAAATTGAGGGTGGCCGATGCCAGTATTATGCCGAAAGTGATTAGCGGTAATACGCATGCGCCTAGTATGATGATTGGATTCAAGGCTAGTGATATGATTAAGGAAGATTGGTTTGAATGACATCTCGATGTATGATAGGCAATTTAGTTTAAGTGTGACATTTAGGAATAAAAGGTGACGTGATAGTTTTATGAATTTTAAACTGACTTCAAAAAAGGAGGAGGTTCTCAATTCGTCTGTATATTTTTTTATGTGTGTCCGATATCAATGATTCTTTTTTTGTTAGAAAGGGGGTACTTCAGGGGTGGTCCCATATAAATTTAGTTAAGATGTGGATATGGCATCTGCACGATTTTGAAGTCGGTTTTTTAAAATTACTTTTAATACTTGTTTGTTATAAACTTGAAATATATTTTTTTAAATCAAATACATATGATTTTTATTTAATGTCCAGGTCCGTGTAAGACAAACGATGAAGACCTACAGTTCAACAACAGTAGGTGAAGCTACGCGTTTAAAAAGGATCGTTACCCATAGTTTTTAAAGTACAATCGAAGGCAAACATTGAATTTATTTACAGTTTCAGGGATTCTATTAGTTTTGTGACGAAGTCACTAAAATTCCCATTAATTTATTCCATAAATTAATTTCTAAAATTAATTTCCATCTATGAACATTTGCAAGACCCCCTGTAACTAATATTTCCGTAGAATTACCGTTTTTAAACATTTGCAAGAGCCCTCGTAGTTTAAAACTTTTCGATATCACAATAATGTAAATCGTCTTGTAAAATTGCAATTCTAGTAGGTTTTATCAGTAAGTTGATCAATTAACATTTTTTTTGCAGTAACAATTTATTTCCTCTAGGTGGGGCTACCGCCCCACTCCGGCAAAAGTACGAATTCTGATAAAACTAAATGTTTGCGATGAAGGAGCTCTCTTTTCCTTCTGCTACGCCGTCAGTTCGCTAGTAATAAAAGTTGTTTTGCTGAAGTGCCGTTTTTACCGTAAAGCGATTTTTGTGAAGAAGTTAATTAAGGTAGGCCTTTTTATTTAAAATTCCGTCTAATAATTCTCCCTGTAACATTCACTTCCGTACTATTAATTACCTGAGCTATTCGACCGATATTTTTGATTTCTTAGTACCTGTCAGGGTAACGAATTGTATTTAAATCCGGGGCGTTAGTGTCCTTCAACCATTTTCGTGTTAACCAAGGGATGATAGTGGTATTCGCTTGCTATCCCTGTCGAGAGTCGCAGCTGTTTCTGTTTTGTAGAAGCTATGGATTCCCAGATGTCTACATAAGATAAATTTGAAACCGAATAAATAAAATAAAAATTCTCAAAGTATTGGTCGAATAATACCGCTTTAAGACAACCGTTATTTGGTCTATTGTGCCTAGTAAAATAATATTGCGGGGAGGATATTAGGCGTCTTTCTTACAAAGGCATCCGTAATTTTTTTTTCTCTCATGAGTGGAGGGTGATACTGTTCACCACCGTTGGCAGATTACCGATATTTTTTTTATTACTGAGAGTAGCTTATTAATTTTTTTTTTTATTTTTAAAACGTATAGTTTGAATCATATTTAGTTTTATTATTGTAGATTTTTTTTTCTTATGGCTAAAACCGGCCGTTTTCATTAATAGCAAGGAATTTGTGCTAAGGGTGTTAGTGCCCACCGTATAGTATAGGTCATAGTTAATTTTACCGTTTTATCATTTTCTGTAAATACCGAGACCTTTTATTTTATCAAGATACATAATTCTGCATTTATTTTATTACCGTTATTAAACAGATATATATATATATATATATATATATATATATATATATATATATATATATATATATATATATATATATATATATATATACCGATTTCACCCCGTTTATTTTATTTTTAATTATTATTTATTTCATTTATTTTGTAAATATATTTTTGATTGAAATTCCTGAGTTTAATTTTGAATTACGCCTTTGCTTTTTCCGTTTTCAGGGCGTAGTGATTAATAGGTAAAAGTGCAGTGAAAAACTTTATTTACTTTACTACCCCAGTGTAGGTCAACTTAACAGTGAAGGTCTATCCGTTTTATTTTTTTTTTGTTTGTACCTGGACTCCACTGAGTCTACTGAGGGTGTACTCTACGTGCACCCCAGGGCCGCAGAGCAAACTGCGATATCAAAACTGGCGCCTGAGCAACCCCTATTCGGGAATTACATTCATAGCGCCACAGACTCGCTGAAGCACTGTAGGTGAATCAGGAGACTTGTCACAGTTTACTAATTTTTACCTAGTACACTTCTTCTTTGAAAAATCCCAAAAACTAAAGTCAAGATGGTTAGAAAAGATCCTTCTTCCTTGGTCACCGTAATCTACTGAAGCGCCGTCGTGAAGAAACCACATATTTGTGGTACGTCGTTTAAGTTATCTGGATATTCGTACCATAACATTTTATAAAAAATGTATACCTCTTTTGAAAGCGATTGAAAAATTGTATTACCTTTCTAAAAGCTACTGATTTCGGCAATAAGTAATAGTTTTATGTTTATCATGTTAACAAGTAGCCAGCCAGCCAGCAATACATTCAGGTGGAGGCCAAAGCGCCAGCGGTAAGACTACATCTTTAACATCTAATTATTTTAAATTTCGACATAAAGAATATATTAAATCATAATTTGTTGGATTATTATTATTATTATTATTATCCTTTCTTAAAATTATAATAGAGGATTTAGAGAGGGCTAAAGCTTTTATTACTATATACCATTTCAAATGCTATATGGGTAATAAGGGATTTAGAGGGCTTTGAAATTTCAAAACTCTCTAAGTTTTGGTACTTACGATTATCCACTGAATAAAATAGCTATGGCGGATCATACATACCTGAAACAAGAAAAAATGTGTTAGTTTTTAACAAAAGATATTACATTAAACACTGGGGGTATTAAATAAACCAAAACAGCTTTAAAATAAATGAATAAACATACAAAAAAAAATAACCTGTTGATTTGGAAACTCAAAACTTTAAACAAAATAATATCTGACGTTAATTGTTCATCGATTTTTGTATTTCCACCAATTAAATAAATCTGAGCAATATATCTTTATTTATTCTAAACCTTTTATTAAATTGAATATCGTCTAGTCCCAATTCGCTCCATGCGTGGCAGCAGCGCCAATTAATTTATGTACTATCGGACGATTAAATTTATTTTGATTTTAAAAAGTTTATTTTTTTAAAAATATTTATTTTTTTTTTACTCATTTTCAATTATCTATTTCTTTAGATCCTAATGTTTCTATATAAGTTTTAAAAATCGATTTTAGGAGATTAGCTGATTTTAGTTTTCTTATATAAATTTTATACATATCAATTAGGAAATTAAACAAGCGGGGTGCTACAAAATCGAAATATCTTGTACCTATGGTTTTTTAGCAGTATTTGTTTGTATATAATCTTTTGTTTTAGTTCTAGTATGATAATGATGGCCAGGTGTTTGCAGGTAAGTGCGGTTTTGAAATAAATGAATGAATAGATTAAAAAGATATAGTTGCCTCAAAAAAGAAGATTAGTGTTAAATCTTAGATTTTTACAATACATAATTTTTAAAATTTTTTGTTGTAGGATTTCGACCTGTTCTAGATGACTTGGCAATGTACCTCCCCAACTTATGATGGCATATCTGAGACGCGATCCCACAAGTGCATAGTAAATTGTTTTAAGATGTGGTAAGTTTAGTATTGTCATTATATATTTAAATTTATATAATAAAAACCTTAATGTTTTAGCTAGTTCCGATGAATATGAGGTCCATCTAAAATGTGAATTTATTTTTACACCAAGATATTTAATTTCAGACTTTAAAGACATTTCAGTAACCATATTGTTGTCCGTAATAGCAATTTTATTATAAAGTGGTAATTTGTGTTTATAACTGGTAAACGGAACGATATAGGGTTTGTTGTAGTTAACCTTAAGCATTTTGTGTTTGAATATATCAAATATTTTTTTACATCAGTTTCTATTCTATTTTTAAATTTTCCTACGTTTTGTCACTATATATTACAGCAGTGTCGTCTGCAAAACCAATTACCTTTCCCGAAGAGTTAAAAGAAAATATATCATTAATGTACAAATTAAAGAGAATTGGTCCCAGTACGGTATCCTTGCATCATCCAAGACGTCTAACAACTGAAAATGACTCACAGTATCAAACGCCTTGGCTAAGTC